CCGTCTCTCTTTAAAAAAAAAACTGTGAAAAGTACTAAACACATCTGTTTCATGCTGCTGTAACAGAATAGCATAGACTGAGTAATTTATAACAGAAATTAATTTCTCATGGTTCTAAAGGTGGGGGAGTCCAAGATCAGGTTTGGTATCTGGTAAGAGGCCAATATCCACTTTCAAGATGGCACCTTGAATTCTGTATCCTCTGAAAGGGAGAAATAAATGCCTTTCTTCATGAGACAGAAGAGTGGAAGAGCCAAGAAAGAAAGTCCAATCCTGAAGCCTTTTATTAAGGCTTTAAATCCAGGTTGGAGCCCTCATGGTTACTCACCTCTCAAATTCCCCTCTCTAGATACTGTTAAAATGACAAACTTCATCATGAGTTTTGGAAGAAACAAAACATTTAAACCACACCAGGTAGACAATTCTGACAAAGAGAGGGACAGAGAATGATGAAGCATGAGTGAAAATAATGTCAAATATTCTGACATCATTTAAACTCTTGCTAGTTTAACCTTAATTAGAACCACGCACCTTCTGATAATGAAAGGATACAATATGATAGTTATTAACCACATGTCTCCAACATCTCCCTCTTTTACTACTACATTGCAATGCAGAGATTTATGGTCCGTTGCACAATAATTAGCCAATTGCTATTTATTCTTTTTAAATGGCCAACTAACAGGACAAACTAGAGTTGATCTGGAACTTATCCTAACTAATCCTCACTCTGTAGCCTGGAATAAGGGAAAATGATATATTTAACAACATTGACTTGTCAGAGGAAAAAAAAATGTTTACACTACTTTGGAGATAAAGCTCAATAAATTGGGACCACACAGACAAGAGAGAGGAAAGGTGCAGAGAGAAGGTGGCTTCCTATCCAGAGAGGGGAGGCAGTGTCTTTACAGATTATGGACATCACAGGCAAACAATGGCTGCATTTATTGGGCTGCTGTATTCACGCTTACAGTGCTCGTAATTGAGGATGATTATGGTTAATGACTCCAGTAATGTGCACTTTCAAACCAGCAGGACAATGTAATTTGTATCAAACCTATTCAGTATCTCTTCAGGCATTTTGCCTGGTTTAATCTTAGCCCAGCTCTGGCTGCAGAGGGATTCTCTGGAAGCTTCACAGCTGGCTCAAATTAAAGATTTCACAGTCTCCCCCACCCCCCTAAAACCTTCAGTACATTTGGTGGTAAATAAAGCTGTTTGAGTTTTCATATCAGTTGCATGGCTCAGGGCCTGTCATAGTTTAATGTGACAGGACTAAGATCTTTAGTCCTAAAAACAGGAGGTTCTATGTAGAAAGGAAATGAACATCTGCCCACAAAATTCACTGATGAAGTGCTAGCCAACAGCAGCTCCACTTCTTCGTAAAAGGAAGCTGTTTTACAATTTTCATACACTGTGAAGCATAACATTCTGTGAAGTTTCTCAAAAGATAAAAATAATTAGTTAATACAAAATATGTCCAGTTTCCATTTCTCCAACTACCAAGAGAGAATCCCTTGTAAACACATTTTTTTTTTAATGAAATCAATTCAGGAATACATTCAAATTAGGAGCCAGATATATCTTTAAAATGAGTGTTGTTTGAATAAACTAAGAAGCACAAGGGGCTGGGGTTGTGGCTCAGAGGTGGAGTGCTTGCCTGGCATGCTTGAGGCACTGGTTTTGATCCTTCTAGGTTCGATCCTCAGCACTACATAAAAATAAAAAAATAAAAGGTACTGTGTCCACCTACAACTAAAAAATAAAATTTTTAAAAAAGAAGCACAAATATTCATTTGTGTGTGTGCATGTGTGTGTGTCTGTGTTTGTTGACATTTTAAGGAGGGATGAGGGGACGTTTCTTTACTATGCACTTATGTTTCTAGTTTTCACAGATAATTTACAAATCCAGAAGCATGAGGTTATGTTTGAGATATGAGGTATGAGGTATCCCCCCAAAGCTATTATGTAAGACAATGCAAGGAAATGTGGAGGTGAAATGATTGGATTATGAGAGCTTTATTTTTAAAAAAATTAAATTTACTTTTAGGTGGTGCTGAGGATCAAACCCAGTATCTCACACATGGTAGGGAGAACTCTACTGCTGAGCCACAACCCCAGCCCATAGATTATGAGAGCTTTAACCTGACAGCTGATATGGATTAATCTGGCTATCACCATAATCAGATGGAGAGTGGCTGAAGGAAGTAGATAACTGGTTCATGCCCTTGGGGTGCCGCAGTCTGGCTGGGCACAAATAACCGATAGGTCACGAGCCACTTGTAGGTTCAAACAGGAACTACTTTATTGCCCGAACCCCACGGGAACTCTCCAGAACTCCACGAAAACTCCATGAGAACCAACGAGAACTCAATGGAAACTCCATGAGAACTCAAAAGTAGCAGGCACCTGAGGCAGCAGGAGCCACCCCACTGCCGGACAGCAGAGGTCCACAGACACAACTGAATACACAGCTTGCCCCAATCCAGCATCATCCAGTTACAGCAATCAGTCACCATCCCAATAATTATACACAGCTTAACTTAATCACCATCATCCCAATGGCTTGCTGGTGTCACCTCTCAACCACTCCTTCTGGCAAAATGCCAGGCGCCATCCTGACTTGGCTGTGGCTCTCAACATTGGGGTATATATTTTGTCCCTGATGAACAAGTCTCTTTGAGGTCTGGTGCTAAGTCCTGAGCTGTTTTCCTCTACCATGCCCTTCGGCTTCAACTTTAGGCCCAGAACAATGAACTCAGCCATTTATGGATGAAGTCCTCTCAAACATTGAAGGCTAAATAAATTCTTTCTCCTTTAAAATTTGTTTTGTCAGGTCTTTCTGTCAAAGCAGTGAAAATGATGACTAAAACACCTGACAAAGTGTTGTACATAAATGGGAAGAAAAAATATGTGAAAGACCTAGGGTTTAGAATAATCACAATTCTGAGGGGTGGGGGTATTGTGTTCCACTCCTCAGTTTTATAAGTAGAGTTTTTTTTTCTTTTTCCCTATTTAAGTAAATGTAAATGACTGCTTGTCATGGGTCCCAGAAGCAACATACCAATCTTAATAAGGATTTCTGTTAGTGATAACAGTAGGATGAGATTGGAAAGTGAGAATGCAGTGCTGGTTTATTTTGTGGTCCTAGTGCTAAGTAAATGGCAGAGGACATTTGATATGAGAAAGGAGCTATGATGTTTGTTTGGCAAGTAGAAAGAAACATTAGGGAAACGTGAATGACCAGCTGAAACTTGTAGACCAGTCTTTAAAATTTTATTTTGTGTTTTAACTGCTTATAAATCCAACTGCTTTACTCTCAAATGTTTACTCATAGGTTATGAAATCTCAGGTTTATGACATCTAATTCATGTCATACTGTGGATAATGTCATTCCATAATTTCTGGAAGAGATAACTTTGAATTGGAAATTGTGGTTGTTTCCAAATGGCTTAAGCTAAATTGATCATAATTGACCACAGGTTGTCCATCATTCCTTGTATGAAAACTAATAAAATAGTTATTTGACTTAAAGACTTATTGGTCTTCAGATTTAGCATTTCCACCCATGAAGTGAAAAAGAATCTCTTATACAGCTAGATAAAGCATTCATGTAGTTGTTTTTCAATTTTCTTCTTGAATCACATTCTTAACACCTATAATATAAAAAAAGTAAAAGGACTGTATTTTAATCAGCTTTCTGTCACTATAAAAAAGTATTGGAGACTATCAACTTATAAAGAAAAAAGGCTTATTTTGGCTCATAGAGGATCCAGTCTATGATCAGTCGGCCCCAAGATTCTGGGCCAGTGGCAAGTCAGCTCACCATGGTGGGAGTGCATGGTGGAACAAAACTACTTAGCTCCTGATGAGCTGGAGAGCAGGAAGGTGATTGGGGTCCTAGTATATCTTTTAAGGGAACACCCGCAATGACCTCCTACTAGGCCCCTCACCTCTTAAAGATTCCATTACCCCTCAATAGGCACTTTATCACATGGGAATTTGGGAGAATTTGATATCTAAACCATAACAGGCAGTTACTGTAATACAATGTAAAATAAATACATAATTTTTTAGAATGGTAGTAGTATACAATCTATGTGATCTTTGAGGGAAAATCAAATTCTTAAGACATTGAAAGCATGATTCTAATTTCCTTAGCACTTCTAATAATTTCTTAGTCTTTTTCCAGCAGTTGGTGACCAGTCCAACTTGACCTCTCTTTACAGACTTTGGTGGACAATACCTGGGATTGGTTCATAGTCTGAATGCTGAAAAATACATCTCTCAGACTCCTTTGTAGTTGGTGCTCTGCATGTGCTCAGGAATTTTCTACCACACACATTCCCATGGAAACTACAAAGGGAAGATCTTTCCACAAATATGATCATGGAGGCATTTCATTTTTCTTTCCTTTCACTACTGTGGCATAGATCTAGGTTTTGTGGACAATGACTGGGAAGTAACAACTGTGTCTTTCTTCTGAAACAGTCCTATGGTGTAGTTGGACATTTTTCTGACTTCCTTGCTTCTGAGTATATAATTTGTAAGTTGAAGTAAACCAACTTCCTAAACTAGCTATTGTGGATTCTGTAGTTGAATCTAAAAACAAAGACAAAAACATATCAACAAAAAAAATGTTACTAAGTAACATGTGAAAATTTTATTCTCATGTGCTTGAATTCTGTTATTCATAAGGATGGTATATTTCATAATAAAGCATTATCAATATCTCCATCCTTGTCAGTGACAGAAGAAAGTAGAACTTGGTTTTTATAATATTTTTTCTTTCTTCTTTCCAGAAACTTAATGTGTGACTACCCTGCTGAATGACTCAGTTGTTGGTTCAATTGTTTCAGGTCATAGGAAAATCAGTGTCAGCAGTTTTGTTTTGTTTAAATTTTTTCCTGGTATGATATGATTAATTGGATTGAGACATTTTTGTAAACATTTGAGAGAATCACAGTAGCAGCTCTGTCTTATCAAATTATTTGGTCTTCTGGGGCCCTGTCATCTTGAAAAACACACAAATAAAAGTCATGTGCACTTTTATCACAGCTAAATGGATCTTGTTTTCAATGGAAATACCCTGTATTTCAATGTGTCTGTCTTGGTCAATTTAGTAGTGTGAGCTCCCCTAGACCAGTGTAGACTGTTTTTGTTTTTGTTTTTGTTTTTGTTTTTCACTAGAGGAAGGACAATGAAACTTGTGTGCTTCCTGAATCTGTTCTATTTTCTACCCAACACAAAGGTTTTAAATTTTTAAAAGAATTTTTCCTAATATTCTGTCTCTTAAAGATTTCTTCTAAATGTCATTATATTTTTACAGGTTGTTCCTCTGGAGCCCTTCAGCTTTGCAAAACTTTTGAATTAGCAATTAGCCCATCACATATTGACCAACATTAGAAAAATATTATGAAGAATCACCCAAAAATATTCTGCACTGGCCATCTGACATTCCAAGTCAGTTGGTATGCACTACCATCTGATGTGTTGCTGAAGCAGAGGCAAAAATACTTCCTGTCTTGCCTTTAATTATGGATCTTTTGAAAAATCATGCTAAGATTTCAGATGATGTAGCCACTTTCTCCAGATTATGCTGGCCCTTTTCAAATATTCTTGAGTTATCATTAGGAATAACAGATAATTACATTTTGACAATCTTTAGGATGAAAAGTCATTGTAATAGTTTGGAGGAAAGGCAGCCACCCTTGGTCTTTTCATGATTTATGGCATGCTAGGTTCCTGAAATAAGGGAATTGAAATGTTAACTACATTAATAACATCATTCGAGTGGACTTTGGTGATATATGGGGACCGAGGAGGCCAACTCACATCTATCAGGCTTCTAAGTAGACACTGATATAATGTAAAAGGTCAGGCTAGCTGGATGAAATGTAGGTCTCCCAACCTTTGGAACCGGTACTATTTTCATCTGCATTTACAACATGCCATGTATTATATGATGTTATTGTGTCACATAATGTTAGCAAATAAAATACCAGACACTTATAGTAATAGTTGCTTGGAAATTTCCAATATGCTATCAGAAAGACAATAAAGTATCAGTGTTTTTTTTTTTTCCTTCTTTCCCAGGTGTTTTTATTCTAGAGAAAGAAAAAAAATCTGAAGTTTTAAGTAACAAGTAATTCATGGAATATTTGCTTGCTATTGTTACTTCAGATAGTAGTCTATGGAAATAATCTCATTAAGCATAGAAAAAAACTAAATTGCCACAATGTTTTTCTCTTAGAAAATTATTCTTTTTCCCTAATGCCAGCTGGTAACATTTTACTGACACTTTGAATGGGGCATTCTGCAAAACTACTTTTTAATTGATATTTTGAGGCCTGCATTCAGTGTTTTGTTTGATTGGCCAAATAAGAATTGAAAACTGTCTTTTACAAAAATAAGTTCCTTATCGAAAACGAATATGTCTTGGTGTTGTGACAGAGCCAGGGTCCACCACAGAGCTGATGCAGCTGCAGAGGTTCTCAGTTACCAGTTCTTGCAATCATACCAGAAAGATTTTGGACATGTTCTGAGGGTAGCAGTTACCTATTTATTTATTTATTCTCTTTTTTTGGGTGGGGGTACCATGCTGGGGATTTATCTCGGGCACTCAACCACTGAGCTATTGACCCCTGCCTTGTTTTGTATTCTATTTTGAGACAAGGTCTCACTGAATTGCTTAGCATCTTGCTTTTGCTGAGGCGGCCTTTGAACTTGCAGTTCCCATGCCTTAACTTCAGATACCCATTTGTTAGAAGGGATAGGAAAAGGGAAAAAAAAGAACACACTCAAGGAAAAAATTGCATCCTTTCAGAAAAGAAGGATGGCACACCCCTGCTGTCCTCTAATTTTCTTGGAGATCACAGTGAAGTTTCCAGAGAGTCCACCCAGGTCCTCCTCTTGACTTTTGACTGACAGCAGGATTGCATGAGACGTTCAAATCCTTACTGGCCAGGGTAAAGATCAAAGGCAATTCTGGTTCACTTTGGCCCATGTTGACTAGGGTTAATTGGAACTTGTTCTAACAGAATTTATATCTAGGGTAATTTCCTCCTGATAATCTCTCCTTGACTTCTGAAATCTGCTCTGTGAAAAGATCACATAACCCCTTCCCTACAGAGAAACTTGTGTTCTTGTTGCCTGGCAAGGAGAAGTCTTTCAGGCCTACATTTCTCCTGCATATAATGGTTGTTTGCTGAAGAATGTAGCATA